GGTAGAAGTTGGCAGTGAACCCTTTGGCACAGGGGTTGACACACACACACACTCTGTAGCTTAACAACATAAAAGCTACTCATTTCAGCCGATGTCCCCTTTTGTGTCACTTGTTCCCAGTCAATCCCTCCCTTGACCGCAGGAAGCTCAGCCAAGCTACGCCCACCAAGACCAGTTGCTTCGGCTTCAAACACCTTACAAACAATGCACATGGAGACCCGTGTCAATAGCACCTGTTTTTAGTCGCTGAGTAGCTCAGGAGTTGGTTTGGACGTCCAAAGAGCTGCCCGTTTGGATGGAGACCGCTAAAGAGGACAGAGAAGTCGAACTGGCAATGTCCACCCATCTTGGCGCTTGGAGGTACTTTGTCCCATACAGGCATACAGCAGGTCCGCATGGCCAGTGGAGGTCCCTGCCCTGTTTCGCTGGATCCACCGCATCCCCCCGCATGTGGAGCTCCTTCCCTTGGAGAATGCCAGGATCCCTCAGGAAGACCCAGAATCAATAGCTGTTAAGGAATCCAGAGAGTCTGGTTCCCCCCTGCTGGCTGCCCTGCTTCTTGGATGTTGAGCCACAGAAAACCGAAGGATGTTTCATGCGATGTGATGCTGAGCTGCTCAAAGCCTATTTTCATGCAGTGCTGCAGAATCCATGGGTCTACGTTGGTGTGCCCACTTCCCACCGTCATGCTGATATAAAGGAAAACAAGTCCTCCAACAAATCATGCAAATAGGTTGGAGGCCATCGCTACTAGGTTGGAGGGCAGCGAAACTAATCAAATCGTTCTGCTCTGTCCAAGTGTGACTCTGCCAGTGGGACATCTTGGGCAAGTATCATGTGCATCCTTCCAACTGCCTCATGACTCATTACAATAGCTGCAAAACTACCCGAAACTGTAAAACAAAATCATCTCAATTATGCATCGAGTCACAGCGGCACCAATGTCTCTGCCTCCTTGATTCGAAAAAGGGGCCGCACTCAAGCTGCGTGTTCAAATCTCTTGTGGATGTGTGGACCACATGCCGCAGCTTCTTGGTTGAACCATGTTCAACAAAAGTGCCTGCAAAGGGTGCAGCCTTACCTCATTGGACCTCAAATTCCCCAATACATGGGTCTGTATCAAATCGGGAGACCTTCCTGGTGTGGCCACCCGCTGGAAGGTTCGAATTGTTTTGACTCAGTTCTGAGCAGTATAAAGCTTGGCTATCTCCCTCTTGAACATATACACCCCCATCTCTGAGGTTTCATCACACAAGCCCAGCAGTTCTTCAGTTACACCAGCGAAAATGAGTTGGAATGGACGTCCAAAACGAACGATCGCCGGGCGCTCCGGGTTGGTTTTGCTGTGTACCGGGAACAAATATAAAACATATTCTCCCACCCAAAGCGGATTCACCCATACGGAACAGAATGACGCCAAGTCCGGGTTTTGATTTTAAGTCCGGGTTTTCCGTTTTAAAACCTGAAAATTCACACAATCACCGAGAAAGTTACGTAAAACCAAGGTCTTTTGATCCACAGCCACCCATGGAGGACGCCCGGACTGCAAAACACGATTGCCGAGGCGCAATGGCTTGAGCGGCTTCATCCACCAGCACCGTGTGCACCGTCTCACGCAAGGTCTGGATGCCAGGCCTGGGATCTTGCGTTGAATTCATCTTATTTTGGTCCTGAAAAGGCTCATAGTTCATGTGAGGCGGCTCCAAATGTCTGAAAAAAAAACACCATAAAACATCGATATATATAATTAATGCAACTGTCTCTCTTCTGTTTTCTTTTCCCTTTCCCCAGGGCGGGGAGCATCTGGGAGCAGGGAAGCAAACAAACATCACGTGATTCAACAGCAAGAACCAATGCGGAAACGGTATGAAACGGATTATCATTAAACAAACACTCTGCAGTTTTGAAGGAAGTTTTGCAACAGCATCTGCTAGAAGATGTCCAATATCCCCATGATGCCACAGGCCAGTGGCTTGCTTGGATTTGCTTCAGGAAATCCAAAAACTAAAACATACTCACCATTAATTATTTCACCAAAGGGGATTTACCACTGGGGAAGATGAACAATAGCCTTCAAAAGCAAACCAGTGTACAGCAGAGGCAAATGAAGCGCGTCAAAAAACAAAATCAACCACCTAGTTCCTCAAGATTATGATTTGAAAGCACGCTGGTGCTTTGTAAGCACCTGCAGATTTGAATCTGCTGGTAGAATCATGTTTCTTATGTATCTGTATTTGCATCTCTTCTACCTTACACAACCAAAGGACCCTTGTCTTCAGCCCCACCGGGGCTGTCATGTACACATTTTGTTTGATCTGCCACCCTCCCACACTTGCGTTCTCCCCGCCTGCCGGAACAGCTCAAAGTGCAAAAGACTGAGCGCGAAGTGTGCAACCTTGGGCCACTCCGGCTTTTTTGACCCTTTCGGCCTACACTCACGAAAACACGTGCTCGTACAAAACCGATGCCGCCAATCAGCCCGGTGTTCCATCTGCTCAGAAAAAGAACAACTCTAAAACACATAAAAACACCACAATCAAATCAAATCCA